AAATTATTTTTTTCTGTTTGGTTTTAAAGGTATAGAGTTTCCAGTAACCTGAACAGAAAAAACGATACTAAACATCATGATAAAAGGAAATTATATAGTGAATCATTGCTGATAAAGGGGACAAAGAGAACTACTATATATGAATAGCAATGACATCTACTGCATAAAAGGGCCTAGCATACCACAGTGAATTTGGTGAGATTATCAGCAGGATCTGATTGGCAGCTGGATCACCTTGACCTTCTCCCACTCCAGCAAGACTCCTATCATTTAAAAAGAGTATTAACATTTCTCTCAGGTACGGCACTAATTACTTGTTGAGACTGGATGCTGAAACGTGGACAAATACATGTTAGAATTACGGTGTCAGATCCAACCAGAATACATAATCCTGTAAAAGATAAGTTGGCAGAGATTTGTCTGCTCATTTATTTTAAGATCACTTTTTCTGAAACGGCCAGCGTGGACCTAGACCCCTGACGTGGCTAGGTGTTCAGAGAGCCACCAGGTGGAGCTATCCTGTAATAAAAGCTGTTTGGAAGACAATCCGCTGCATGTCTTGCTGTTTCAGTAAGACTAGAAACAAGTTTTGTGCATGCGTTTTTACCCAACATTAAAGAATGTTTGGTGGGGATGGGTGGTGTGCAGTAGTAGTGTGAATAGATCAGTGCTCACCAAGGAAAAAACAGATATGCCATCAGGTGCTGTCTGGTAACTACATACAGAATAAAATCTTAGCCCAGCTGATTAAAAGGGCCAGATTGACTGATGGCCATTAACTTCGTAAAGGGAGTCAAATTTTCACTGAGAGTGTAGTATGATTTACAGCAGCACTTGCAACCTTAAAGAATACAGTCCCTATCATTACCTCATATATTCATTTTACTAACTTTTACCAATAGGAAAAAAATTGGATCTAAGAAGTATCTGCTGATGTAGCGCTAACAAACTGTAAATGCTTACCTTTATTTAGAGTTCTGATTGAATGATTCAGTTTGGATAGACTGATCAAATTCCCCTCCTTCTCTGGCGAGCAGCCTTCATTGCTCTGAAATTTTCTCCTTGGAAAGCTGCCTACAGCTGCAATTTTGGCACATTACTTTTTTAAATGTTCATGGCATTTTGGTTCTTTGCTCATTTTGGGTGTTACATTTGCTTTTTATATCCAAATCATAAACATCAAGAGCACCAGTAGACCTGTTACACAGAGAGTTATTTTATGTCCTCATATAAAGCATGGGGAGGTTAAAAAGTCCCTAGTGCAACCACGGGAAGGAGACAACAATTGTTCAGTTATATTTCTTCTTTTCTTCGTCCCATATTTTCATCTCCTCAACAAGGAACCGATGGGAGATGGTTTGCTTTAAATCAGAGAGATGAAATCATAATAAAGACTTGAGCTGACAAAGAAACAAAAACTGCAGTTAATAATCCATCCCTGGGAAACAACAGCTTTTTTTTTTTTTTTTTTTAACA